CATTGCAAGCAAGTCCAAGGAGGAGATATATGATATCAAGGAGAAGCTGAAATCTGAGTTTGACATGAAAGACTTGGGGTCTGCCAAGATGATATTGGGAATGCAGATAGTGAGGAACAGACAGTGTGGTCACTTGTTCATGTCCCAACAATCTTATATTGAGAAGCTGTTGTTGAGATACAACATGCATCAGTCCAAGGCAGATTTGGCACATGCTACAAGTGTGATCAGCAGGTTTATGACTGATCCAGGGCAGATACACTGGGAAGCACTCAAGTGGACTTTGAGATACATGAAGGGATCTGCTGATATTGGATTTCTATTCAAGCGGAATGATGGAATAAAATTAAAGGTGATGCGGGAAAGTGTTTTGAGGACTCAGATTATGCTGGTAGTGTTGACACAAGGAAATCCTTAACAGGATATGTGTTCACTCTTTTTGGGACTGCAGTGAGGTGGAAGTCAGGCCTCCAATCAGTGGTAGCTTTGTCTAGGACATAAGCTGAATACATGGCGGTGACTGAGGCAGTCGAAGAAGCTATGTGGATGATTGGGATGGTTCAGGAGTTGAGGATTGAGCAGGAGAATGTGAACGTGTATTGTGAAAACCAAAGTACATTTCACTTGTTGAGACATCAAGTGTCTATACACGTTGATGTGAAGGTGGAGAAGGTGCATACAGCTGAGATAGTTGCGGATATACGAACAAAGTCTTTACCGGTTTCAAAGTTCAATCACTGTATGGACTTGGTGAGCTGATGTAGGCAGTGCTAGCTTGGTTATAAGTTAGGTGGGGCAGTGCTAGCTTGGTAAGAAGCTAGGAGGTGCTAGCTTGGTAAGAAGCTAGGTGGAGCTACCTTGGTAAGAAGCTAGGGTGCAGAGAGAGAGAGAGAGAGAGAGTGGTAAAAGGAGCCTACGTGGAGTATGAGTCAAGGTGGAGAATTGTTATTCTGTGACACATATCCACGTGTACATGCCAAGTGGATACTTTATCTGGTGCATCACTTAAAGTAAAAGTCAAAGTATGAGCTGGAAAGTGTAAGGAGCTGTTACACTAGAAGACAAAACCCGTGAGGACCACTCTGACAGTGGTTGACACCTGTCGAGCTCATAGTGATTTGCTTGGGGACCAAGTTTGCTTTTTGCTAGGGTTTGTTGCATATATAAAGCACTTGGTGGAGAGGCTTGGAGGATAAGGCCAATCAAGGGGATAAGGCTTGAGGGGCTGGAAAGAGAGGAAACTCTCAAGAACAAAAGAAGAAGCTAGAGGGAAAGCAAGAAGGAAATCTTCACGGGGTTTGTGAGATTTGGGGCTGGGAAACAAGAGAGAAACAGTGAGGTATACACAGGGGAGTGTCAATACGGCTTAGGTGAAATAGTTGTTCAGAGCTTGAATGTAATCACTATCTTGTAATATGTAACCTTCTTGATCTAGTGGATTTTGTTCTCTCTGCACAGTGGATGTAGGCCTGTGGTAATACAGGTCGAGCCACTTTAAATATTGTGTTATTTATCTGTTCCATTGCTTTCAGTTTTAGATATGTGGTACTGTAGTTGTGTTATCTGCAACAGTATCTACAGTCGGTTGAGTCAACACAGTGGTATCTGTGTGTTCTTCTTGGTTTGATTTTCATATTTGTGTGACTTGTTATTATCTGTGGGCCTAAATCCACAAAAGTATTGTTATCATATTTGTAGGAATGTTACAACTATTATTAGATTTTTATTATCATGTATCTGACTAATAATTTATTTTCCCCTTTTATTATATATTCCTTCGTGCAACGCACGGGGCAAAAATACTAGTAAATATAAATGATAAATTAACAAAAAAAAAGGAAAAATAAAAAAAGAAAAGAAGTTTTTTCTTCCCGTCACTACCAGCCCTACCCAAACTACTATTCATCCACTCCAGCCCCCAGCCGCCGTCTTTCGCCTCTGCTTCGCAACACCACCGCTTGCCCAACTCCCTCCGAACCGACGGGCCTCGACCTGAAACAGGAACCGCCTCCAGCCGGTTCGCCGAACCCAGAACCGAACCGAACCAGCTGTGGGCACCTAATGTAATGTTAAACGGCTTCGTTTGTGGTTTGGGCGTCTCTCTGTTTTATATATTCTATAATAATGTCTGGCCTACTTTGCGTTTACCCTCAGCGGTTTGTTTTGCGTTTAAAATTATTTTATTTTGTTCTGAAACAAGTATAGAATTGGAATATACATCTTCTTCATATGGTATGAAGGGTACAATATAAGCTGATTGAAGAAGTTTGTGCCTCGGTAAACAACCTGCTGAGAAACTTTCTAATTTCGTAAAAACGTCTCAGTGTTGTGCCAGCTTGTACTTGTAACTTAATGAACTCGTTGTGCGTTTCGACAAGTTTTGTGGCCGTGATTTGTTTCGAGGACTCTGTGGGACCTACTACCCTAACATTTCGCCTTGCCATTTCAATATCCATTCGTTTTCTTATTAACAAGTTCATGGCTAAATAGCCGAACTTGTTAATGAGAAAGGGAATGGATATTTAGCCTTGTGACATAGAGAGAGAGAGAGAGAGAGAGAGAGAGAGAGAGAGAGAGAGAGAGAGAGAGAGAGAGAGAGAGAGAGAGAGAGGGGGGCGCTAAAATATGTTTTCTTCACGACTCGAAAACTAATGACTACTTGTATATACAACGATCGTAGATATAGTCCGGATATACATTTGGAGCCAACGTTTCATTCCAAAATGATGGGCAGTTTCTCCTATTCATATTGTTGACTAATAATTTTTGAAACATTTACAACTGGGCAGAATTCAAATTTAATGCACAGTTGTAATATGTTTTTAGACTAGAAGTGAAATTGGATCCAACAAAGTTGATTTTCCAACCATAAACAAAAAACAGAAAGTATTTGAGCATACTATTATCCAACTTAGTTAACAAACTCCTAAACCAAAAATATCAAACAACTAACAATATAATCATGAACCGTACAATCCTAGCCTAACTACACAACCTCCAAACCAAGCTCTGACTCTCCGGCAGCCGCAACCTCCAGTGGATCTCCGTCAACGGCCGCCATCTCCAGTTGTGGCTCCGCGACAGTGGCACCTAATGTAATACCAAGTACACAATGACCTGTACGACCCCGAGTACAAGGCTAATCGTGTTCGGAACCTACAACGAATAACAGTATATTAAAAAATATAATTATCATATATAATATAACTAATAATATTTACATTACTTACCCAAATCGCGGCATCTCCCCTAAGGAAGCCGTAAACGCCCCATATGATGGCGTTCACAGTGAGGACACACGTGAGTGTGATCGGCATGAAAGCCACACTGCGTGTCCTGATAGCTCGAACCTTAAAAGAAAATTGAAAGTATTAACAAATAAAAATAATCACTAATCAGATTACATAAATTGAAAAAAAAAAAAAAAACTAATTCTTACCACGCTGCCAACTGTGGCCCCGTACACCGATATGGATGCTCCAAAGCAAATCCAACTCACAATCTCCTCCCTCGTATTTCCTTTCCACATAAAGAATGTGAAAAGGATAATTGTGCATAATATGCACAACAAGATGCTCAAAAGACGGATAATCCGAATCTACAAAATAATATGAAATAAACTATGATCGATTTTCTAATTAGTTATTTATTTTAATTAATTATCTTATAAAACTACGGGAATTTTTTTACCTTGTGGTGAGGAGGTGAATAGACAATGTACATGATAATGTACACTGTCTCGACAACGCAACCGAATGCGTTAACACCAATCAGTAAATGACCATCTTTCTCTATGGCCCCGTAGTAGAGCCAGATGCCCGAGGACATAAGCGCAACGGTGTAAGGCATCACCGAGTACCCCACCGTCGACTTCTCACCGTATATCTTGATAAACATGAGCCTGCATTAGGATATTTTTAGGGATTTTTTTTAGGGAATTTTTTTAGGGAATTTTTTAGGGATTTAATATGATTTCGGTTCCGATTTTGGAGGAACCGAAATCGAACTGAATATTTCCGGTTCCTTGTGGTTTGGTTCTTTAAAGTTCCGGTTCGATTCCGGTTCAGTTCCCGGTAGAACCGACCGGTTCTGACTATATATATATATATATATATATATATATATATATATATATATATATATATATATATGATGACGCTAAAGTTAGATCACCTTAAATAGTTGAAGTAGGATGAGCTGGAAGAGCAGAGTGGATCAATAGCTCACGAGCTTGATGACCTTGAGATACCTGCAATCATAGAACACGTGAACTAGGCCGGGAGTTGATCCGGCGGAAACCCCTCCAACGCTCAAGTCAGACGTGCGGATAGTAGGAATAATTGAAAGAATATGACTCCTAGTATTCTTTCGATAATAGGGCTTACCTTTAACAAATGAATTATATCGTTATTTATACCTTAGATGAGATTGTTGGGCTCAAACCTTATTTGAAGGTGATTGGGCATTGATGATATTTGTCTTCAATATTGGGCTTGTGGCCCAGCATTGGAGAAAAATACCTAAAAGACTTCAAAAAAAATTAAAGTTTTTTTTCAAAAACTTAAAGAATATTTTTTTCACTTTTAAAAAAATTGAATGAATTAGTTTTAGTTTAAAAATTAAAAAAAAGGAAAAGTAAAGAAATTGAGAGGGATTGCACATATTTTTTAAATTTTAAACTTTAAAGTCAAACTTTAAATAAATAAATTATTTTTTTTTTATATATAACTTAAAAAATACTTTAAAAAATAGTTAATCAAAAAAGAAAAAATAGTTGAAAGAATACTTCAAAGACTTCAAAAAAATTAAAGTTTTTTTAAAATACTTCAAAAAATAAATTTTTACTTATAAAAAAATTGAAGGAATTAGTTTTAGTTATAGTTTTAAAATAAAAAAAAGTAAAAAAAGAAAAGGAAAGAAATTGAAAGAGCTTGCACTTTATTTTTAAATTTTAAAGTTTAAAGTTAAAATATAAATAATTAAATTTAAAAAAAAAATTGTTTAGAACCGCGATTCTAACCATAGGTTCTCGGTTCCGAAAATAGGGAATCGCAACCGAACCGATTTTCTCGGATCCGATTCCGATTCCAGTTCTGATTCTGGTCAAACCAATTTCGGTAACGTTCTAAAACATTGACCCCAGTTCCGTTTCAGGTCCGGTTCTAACCAAATTGGTGGTCATGTCTAACTCGAGGACCCGGACCTGGGAACCCGTCGGGTCCACCCAAATTTAATGTGCAAATATCACAATAAAGAACATGGCTTGAGGGGCGTACATGGGTCACCCTGATGGGTTAGTAAAGTACCGACCATTTTAGAGAATCAACTTATTACAATATTCCAAATTATAAACATATAAATATAAATAAAATTGTAAATGATTATAATAATTTAATAACTAATGTTTAATAAATTATTAATTGCCATATTCACTATTATTAATATTAAAAATCTGCACTAATAAAAAATCCTTATATATTTAATTATTAAAAAAATATAAAGAAGTACAGTCAACCCGTGTA